TGGTGGATCACAACCTCAACATGAGTGAGCAATGTGATGCTGCTGCAAAAAAAGCAAATGCAACAGAGGCATAACATGCAAGTCATGGGAGGTGATAGTACTGCTCAACTCAGCGCTGGTTAGGCCTCAGCTGGAGGACCGTGTCCAGTTTTGATCACCAATGTATAGAAAGGATGTAGAGAAACTGGAAAGAATCCAGAGGTGAGCGACCAAGATGATCAAAGGGATGGAATGTAAGCCATATGACAAAGGCTGAAGGAACTGGGTATGCTTAGTTTGGAAAACAGGACATTAAGGGGGACATGATAGAGGTCTTTAGATACTTGAAAGGCTGCCATAAAAAAGATGAAGAAAAGTTATTCTCTTTTGCCACAGAGGGCAGGACAAGAGACAATGGGTTCAAACTACCGCATAGCAGATTTAGATTAAATCTCAGGAAAAAAATTTCCTAACTGTAAGAACAGTAGTACAATGGAACAGTCTGCCTAGCGAGGTAGTGGAAGCTTCTTCAGTGGAGGTTTTCAGTAGGAGGCTGGATAGCCATCTGTCTTGAATGGTCTAGATGCAACAAATCCTGCATCTTGGCAAGGGGCTAGACTAGATGATCCTTGTGGTCCCTTCTAACTCTATGATTCTATGTTTCTAAACATGAAAATACTATACTGAATTAATGGTTTTGTATGCGAGAACTTGAGTAAGCTATTGATATCAGCAAAACTAGATCCCCAGGTAAAGACAAGGTACATAACATAATGTTTAAATATGTCTGTGAAAGCAGTTTGAGGGTTCTCTTGGAACTATTTAACACTATATGGACAAAAGGACTTACACTGGTTGAATGGAAACACGAAGTAGTAATTGCAATACAAAAAAAAAAAAGGCAAATTATCCACAAAAGTGGATACCTATAGACCAATTGTCCTTACATCTTGTCTGCATAAAATAATGGAGAGAATAGTGAATGAAAGATTGGTTGTTTGTTTGGAAAACAATGACATTACAGAGAAAGCACAGAGTGGTTTTTAGGAGAGGAAGATGCACCAGTGATCACATTGCTAAATTAGAAACTGAAATATAAAAAAGTATGAAATACAAAGATTTCATGATAGCTGTCTTTCTAGATATTGAAAAGGTGTATGACATGCCATGGAGGGAAGGGTTATTGTACAAAGTACATGCACCAGGGATAAAGGGAAGAACATATGGGTGGATTAGAGAATTTTTGAGTAAAAGGACCATGTAGGTCAGAGTTGGGAAAGTTATGCTGAATAATATTAAAAATGGTACACCACAGGAAGTGTTATCAGCCAACCTTATTTAATATTATGATAAATGATCTCCCCAAAAAAAAGAAGTGCTGGGTGTAGGTGTCACTCTATTTGCAGATAATTGTGCTCTGTGCGTTAGGAGAAGGAATATAAAGGTGGCAGAAAAAAGAATCAACAAAATGTTATGCGAGACCTCTGACTGGGGAAATGCATGGGGTTTCAAGTTTTTCATTGCTAAATCCACAGGACTGATCTTTATAAAAAGGAAAATTACAAAGGAATGTTAACTGTATCTGTCTGCAGAACAAATAGACATAGTTAAAAGGTTAACATTCTCAGGGGTAATATTTGATGCTAAATTACATTGGAAAGATCATATAAATGATGTTAAAGATAAATGTAAAGAAAGGATTAACCTGCTTAAAAGTCTTGCTGGGACTACTTGCGGGAGGTTGGGGGGATGGATAGGAAAACATTGCTGATGGTATACAGAGCCTTAATCAGACCAGTTATTGACTACAGCTGCTAAATTTTTGGGTCAGCATCACAATCAGAACTTAAAAAATTAGATTTAATACAAGCTCAGGCACTATGAATTGTGTGTGCTGTGTTTATTACAACACTTATATGCGCTGCAGATAGTTTCTAGTGAAATGCCAGTTACACTACGAATGAAACTACTGGATCTAACTTTCTGGGCCAAAGTTATTGGGAACTGCAATGATGAAAGTACCAAACAAACTTATGAGGATTGTTGGGAATTTGGTAGGCAAACTACAGGACACAAAGTTAGAATTCCACATACCATTTGAGTTAAAAGTGTGATGCAGCAGTTGAAAAACAAAGAAAAGTTGAATGAAGTCAACATTTTTAGTGATGGGAAAATTAGTTATGGATGGAAAGTCACATGTCCAGATGTGGAGTTAGATTAATTTTATAAATTTAAGGGTAAAAAAAGAGACAGTGGGTATTAAAAATGAAGTATACCAGTCTACAGATGAAAAGTGGAGTTGGTTTTGTCAAATATATACAGATGGGTCCAAAAAAGAAAAAGAAAAGCAGGAAGAATAGGGATGGCACATTATATACAAATATTGGGAATTAATACATCCAAAAGAATATCTGACTATGTAGCTGTAATGCTAGCATGAAATTGGATCTGGGATGTATACCCAGCAGAAGCAGCAGTCATTTTTTCACATTCAATCTCAGGCCTTATGGTGATAAAAAAGGATGTCTCAGTATGTAGAAGTGATTTAATCAATGAAGTTATATTTCTAATAACAGAGTTAGTACAGATGGGGATACATGTAGCATCAGCTTGGATCCCAGTGCTTTTTGGGATAACAGGGAACAAAATGGCAGACAAAGCAGCTAAAAACACTAAGAAATGGAAGGATTGATGCAGAGATACCCCTGAGTAAACAGGAATTCAAAAGCCTAGCAAAGACAAATTTAAAAGAGGAATGGCAATAAATAAATAAATAAATAAAATGGATTAATGAAAAAAGAGGAAGATCATGTTTTGAACTGTGCTCTAGATTTGAGGATTGCAACATATTTCAGGGCCTGGATAGAACTAATGAATGCTTCTGTTTAGGGTACTAACTGGCCATTTTGGCTTAAACAAAATTTTTTTTTTTTAATAAAAAGACACACAGATGGAATATGTGTGCTCTGTAGGGTGGGAGAAAACCAGATCACCTTCTATGGGTATGTAGGGGCTTTGAAAAAGAAATGGAAAAGCTTTTTGAGGAATTTAAACATCTTAAAGGGAAAAAGTACATGATGTGATATAGTAAAAACGTCAAGGAAATGGAATATTATTTGAAAGGTGCTGTTACATGACTTGAAAGACACAGGGCAGAGCGAGAGGCTATAAACTGCTAAGTATTGAGGAATTATAGTTGGTGGCAGCTACAGACTATTCAGGCAAGTCTGTTTCACCATAAAAAGAGAGAGAGAGAGAAAAGAGAGGGCGTGGCAGTGAGGAAGTCTCCTGCCAATCTCTGCATTAGAGAGGGAAGTAGGGAGCTGGGAAAAGAGTAGGATCCTGGGAGCCTGGCCCAAGGAAAGGGCATACCCAGAAAAGAGAAGAGTGAAGCAGAAAACCTCTGGCAAGTGGAATAGGAAGCAGTCCAGGGAGAAAGCAGCAAAGTTGGGCCTGGGCAGACATTGGCTGTGTGTTGTAGGGTCCCTGGGCTGGAACCTGGAGTAATGAGCTGGCTTGGTTTCCCCTATCAACCACTGACAGAGTGGCATTGCCTGGACAATGGGTGCAGTGAGACTCTATACCCTGACAGGGGAAACCACATAGTGACCTGGCTGGAGGGCCGAGTCATGAAGAGGAAGCTGTAGCTCCTGGAGTGACTGAGGGGCCACAGAGTGAGAGAAAGGACAATAGGTTGAGAAACTGCAAGGGAAGGTGTCAGACCTGTAAGAGAGCCAATTCCCAGAACAGCCAAGAGGAGACGCTACCTGCAATGAGTGAGTACCCTGTGACAGCATATAGTAATAATTAGCTGCTTTTGAAATGTATGGTATTTGAGGCATAAAAAAATACAAGGTTTGACTTTGTTTGCATTTGCTTTTGGCAGGAAAACAGATTTTGTACAAAGAAGATGGGAAAAGAACCCAAGCAAATATGTATCCAAATGCTGCAGAGTTCTTCAGCAGAGAGTTTTTGTTGATGATGATGTTACTGAGACTTAATATTCCAAGAGCTTTTCTCAAAGACAAACTGTTAAAAACATGTAGAGATACATTTTTAAAGCAAATTGCATCATCTGCAAAAATGCTAAACAAAATCCTTTTCTTAAAAGTTTTTTGCCACCCCTCCATCCATGAAGTGACTGTTAATCCTCTTTTATAAAAAAACAAAAAAAAACAAAAAAAAAACAGGCCAATTTTCTCCCTGTGCTGCAGCCCATTTATGCTACCTCCACCAGTGGTGTACATTGATTGCAGCAAGGAGCCCACCATCTCTTTGTTGCCAGGGGATGTTCCCCACATGGAGTAGAGCTGCCATAATAGCTATCTGAACATAGCCTGTTTGAAAGAAGCAGGGGCGGCTCCAGGCACCAGCGCACCAAGCGCGTGCCTGGGGCGGCAAGCCGCGAGGGGCGGCAGTCAGGGAGCCTTCGGCGGCATGTCTGCAGGAGGTCCGCCGGTCCTGTGGCTTCGGCAGCGGGTACGCCGAAGCTGTGGGACCGGCGGACCTCCCGCAGGCGCGCCGCCGAAAGCCGCCTGATTGCGTGGTTGGGGCGGCAAAATACATAGAGCCGCCCCTGGAAAGAGGACTATGTTAATGTGAACTAGGTATCTTGTTCCCTCCCTGACAGGTAAGCAGAGCTCCAAAGAAATCAGGTGTGGGGGGACCTGGGTGAGGGGAGGAGACAATGCCTGCGCAAACTACACCCATGGCTGGCACGGGTTCCTGTGGTTACCGGATTTTTAGTGTCCGATCACCACTGTTAACCTGATACCTGGTAGTGTGTTCCTGCAGTACTGGCTTTGCCTTTCCTCCTGGCAGGAGCGCTCCACCAAGGCTGTGTGAGTAAACTCGCTACCCCTCCTCACCCAGCCTGGCCGCGCCCCCTGCCTGACCAGTAGGGCCTAAAAATAGGAGGGCCTAAGGCTATAGCCTTATTAGCCTATGGGTTAATCCGGCCCTGCTGGTGTACTATGCACTTGAAAGGGTATGGTAAGAGGCAGCAATGAAAAGCTACTTACCTGAGTGTGAGCGTTTTTTCTTGAAGAAGCAGTAATATTGGAATAAGAGCTGACAGATGAGGTCGTATTCAGGTCATCTGTGCTGAGGTTATCAAGAGTGTCGCTGAGGCCACTACTAACTGAGCTGCTGTCATCCCAGCTGTAGAAAAAGAAGGATATCTATTTACTCACTGAAAGCCACTGACAGGAAATGTTCTCAAAACAATAGTCTCTATAGTACCTTTTTTGCATGAGGTTTACACAATGAACATTAAGTAATATTTGCTAATGTACAATGCCCATTAGTTTTCAGACATTTCTAATTAATCACTCATTTTCAAATGTGTATTGGTAGTTGTTCAATTAGTGAAAGACCAGGATGTCTTTTAAAAATGTAATATCAGCTCTGGGCAAGCACTAGTCTAAGTCATTAAAAGTGGTTGTTTCATGCTTCATTGCAATCACATTCAGTACACTGGCAGGGAAATCCATTAAAGCTACCTGTATTGGTAGCCAAAGCATTATTAACAGCTTGCAGTACCCTATGGATTTCCAGCCTACAGAAAAATAAAGGAAATATCTCTTCTCCAGCCTAATCAACTGTCAGTTAGGCAGCCAATATTTCCAGTAGCTCTGTTTTCTTGTCTCAGCCTTTGTCTGGTGGGTGCTGTGTCATCAGAGCAAGATTCTTTGATCAAACATTCACTGGAGCTGGTTACTTAGAGAACAGAAGTTATACATTTCATAGAAACACAAACTATTGTTGCTATTGTCCGTTCTGCTTCAGGAGATCTGGGCAGCGGGTATGGAAGAGGGCAATGACAGCTTTATGGCATATTCTCCTGCAAGCCCTATTTTGAACATGGAGGGGCTGGGGCACAAGGAGTTAGGAAAACCCCATCCCCAACTTCCTTACCGAATTCAGAGGAAACTCAGTGAGGGGAACTGTAGTAAGCTGGACTGGCGCTCCCCAGACACAGAGGAAGAGAGCGGCTCCACCCCCTCGTGGGTGGAGCCCTACCCCTAGCTCTGCCCCTAGGAGCCAAGGGGTGGAGCCAGAAGTATAAAGGCGGGACCTGGAAGCTCGGTAGGGGCCCAGCCACTGGAGGGGACACACACATCCCCCGAGTATTTGCGCTGGGAAGTGGCCGCAGGCCCGCAGAGTGCAGACGACTGGCCCGGACCACCTGGACCCTGGACTGACTTGACCCCAGGGGAAGCAGACGACTGGCCTGGACCACCCGGCCTCACAGGAAGCAGATGAATGGCCCGGACTACCCAGACCCTGGGACGACCCGACCCTGCAGGAGACAGACGGCTGGCCCAGACCGCCGGCTGGCCCAACCCCGACAGAGCTTCTGCTGGCAATTGAGGCCCCCTGCCAATCACCTTACCTCACCAGACCAGAAGGTACCCTGGGAGTGGGAGTGTGGAAGTGGCCCAGGGGTAGTAGACCCCTGTCTGGCTGCAACGCTAGCAGAGGGTGAGTCAGCATGTTGCAGCTTGAATCCCCGCTGATGCGGTGGCAGACCCCTCTGCCACCCTTAGGGCTCTGGGCCGGGACGCAGTGGAGTGGGAGGGCCTGCGTCCCCTGTGCCACCCAAGCACTGGGTGGCAGTCTCCCCCTCCCTCAGGCTAGCTGAAGGAAAGCCTGAGTTAACTGACTTTGTTTGCAGCCCCACCTGAGTGCAGGTTGGAGCTAAGTGACTTTGCTTACTGCCCCGCTCTGAACCAGAGCCTAGGCTGATTGACTGTTTGTTGCCCAGCCTGAGTACAGGCCTGAGCGTGAGACTCTTTGCTGCCCTGCCCCAACCAGGGGCTGGGGCTCTGTGTTTATTGTTCAGCCCTGACCACAGGCCATGAGCTCATATCTCCCATCGCCCTGCTGATTCCCCACCTCAGGCGATCCCCGGAGATGTAGAGGGGCGGATTGGCCGCCCACAGGCCTGGAGGAGGAGGAGCCACTCCCTCAACGGACTACAGGAACCTTGCAGCATTTCCTGGCCCCTACTCCACCTGAGTATCTCTCTGTAGTGGTACAATCTGATCCTGATTGTTTTACATCCTATGGGGAAAAACCCACACAGGGCAGAATAGGGGAGTTAAGGAGTTTAGGAGAAATTCAGATCTTCCAGGTGAATGTAAGCAAGTACAAAACTACCACAGAACAGAGAAAAGTAGTGCCTGCTACTACCTGAATTCCCAATAAACTATTTCATATTGCTGCTAGTATCATACTACCAAGAAAAGGACATGAAGTTACGTTTTGTATGCCTCCGTAAATGAGAGATTAGTAGTACTAGTTTGAGCAGACAGGCAATATGACAGGCTCTCTGCAGAGTTCAGCCAACAAACTTCCATCTTGGCCTGCAGTTCCCTTATTAATCTATGTCTGGATCATTCCCTCAGCAGTTTTATTCTTTAATATAGGAGCCTGCCAGTCCAGTGAGTTTAATACTGAAATTCAATTCACATCAAATACGCCCTAGTGATTTTATTATGTCAGGGGCCTATAAACTCCCAGAGTTGTACAAGGCAGATTCTGTAAATCCTAGAGTTTGCATCCAAATATATTAAAAACTGGAGCGCCTAATAACAGGTTGAATAAAACTGGGGACCTATACTCTTGCTAATATTAGAGCAGGGAAAACAATGGAAACATCTGAGAATCCTTGTTTTACATGTGCATCTACGGAGGGTTAAACCCACATATTCATTACAACATTGAAGGCTTTGGAATGTGACAGTAGCAGCTACAAATAATCTAGATGTTGAGGAGATCGGTATGAAGTGTGGCATGATCGGTCAGAAAGTTCAGTGCACTAGTCGGTATCCTAGCAACCTCAGAGACCATTACTTTGAATACTGCAACAGTACTTTGAATACTGCAACTCAATTTAGTATGTGACCTCAGTGGCAAAAGAAACTTATTTCAGAAGGGTGAGAGCAGACTACAATACTGCACTTTCTGGTATTCAGTGTAAGGGCTACAAATAAATAGAGCTTCTGCACCATTGCCATGTCATAGACAGTAAACGCGATTTAAAAATGCAGTTTCATATCTGATTGATTCTAAAAACATGCTCCATAAACCCCACAGTGACAGGGAAAGGGCGAAGGAGGCTCTGTGTACTAAAGGAGACCCACCCACTTTAAAAGGAGGAAGCTGCTACCCGTAAGGGGGAAGTGCTGAGAAGGCTGTGGCTCTTGAAGCAGCAGAAGGAACCCTATGCCAGAGACTTCCCCAGCTCTGTGAAGAGTCTGTGAAACCAGGGGCAAGCCCAGCAGGGGGAGACTCCTTTAGCTACCTGTCCAGAAGGACTACAGTAAAGCTGCTATGGAGGCACCCCTACAGTTAGGGGGTGCCACTGACCTTGTCTCTGTTTGTTGATTCCAAAAGGGGCTTGTTCTCTGTTGAATTTGAACTTTTGCTGTTCCCCACCTGTGAACAAAGCAAGACGATCTGTAAAGGCAGTGCCCACTGCAAGAACTAAAAGGCTTGGGCCTGGAGTGGGCTGAGCCTGTGGTGGTAACGGAGCATGGCAAAGGGCCCAGGGCCAGCTCCAGGGTTTTGGCCGCTCCAAGCAGCCAAAAAAAAAAAAAGCCGCGATCGCGATCCGCGGCCGCACTTCGGCGGGAGGTCCCTCGCTCCGAGCAGGATTGAGGGACCGTCCGCCGAATTGCCGCCGAACAGCTGAACGTGCCAACCCTCTCCGAAGTGGCCGCCCCAAGCACCTGCTTGGTAAGCTGGTGCCTGGAGCCGGCCCTGAAGGGGCCCCAATCCAGCTAGAGAGATGCCCCAGAGAGACTCTTTTACACATGCCTTACTAGGAATTATATTCGTTTCCACTAATCATTTATACCTACTGCCTTTTCACCCTTTTAGCATTGTCTAATGTGATAGATAGGGACCTTCACATCCTATAAAAGCCATTATTCAAATACTACTTGTAACATAGGCATATACTGTTTGCAGTACTGTCAAGCATGATAACTGGAAGTACCTTTAATTATAGTAAGATATTATCAAGGACAGTATGCCATGGCAAATACAATCAGAAGCAGGATGTGATATTGATGTATTGTATACTGTCACAGGCACCATGTTTGAGTATAAAATACTAAGAACAAAACACACCCATTTTATTAAACCTGTCTTACAGTATTTCTCAGAGCTGGATAACTCGCAACAATATTTTTTCAATCTTTAACTCCACTTTTCTCCTGTCTTTACACCTTTAATCCTGAGTTGAGGATGTCGCCATAAACATTTCAGGAAGAAGGTTCAAATCTTCTAATTTATCTCAGTTTTAAAACTACGTAACTGAAGCATGTTCACAAAATCTACATACAGACAGTCTCTATATTCTACAGCTCAAGTGCCTTGGCAGAATTAATCTTTCAGATCATGTTTTCACTCTCCTATGGCTTCTAGGTGATGTTTCACACTTGTCACAAAGACTCACTCAGTGGATTGGTAAGCTCTGGAAACACTTCTGGCTGCCTTGGAAGTTATGCAGAGAAATGCTTGACATCTACTCTACTGACCTTTCAGAGTTTTCACTACATATGGCTGGAATATTTCTCTGATCTCAGGTGGTCCAAATGTCTAGGAGCTCTTGAACAAAATTTCTGCCTATGCTCAGTCCCAATTATTTTATTTTATTTTTTGTTCCACTCATACCATCGTAGTTATTTATTGGTATTGGGTTGTTTCAGCATCTTTTCTTTGGAATTTCTCCAAGTCTGGTTATTCACAGTATGCTCAAATTGAACTAGAAGCACACACAGAAGTGTCCTAAGCCTTCTTTCCATCTAAAATTCTGCTGATAGTCCATTAAGCTAATTATGTTGAAAGATGTAATGCTTTGCATCGTACAGCAGATTCAGAAATATTAGAGATGGAAAAACCCTACAAACTAAGTCATGTAAGTCATCCTTCCTGGCAGTGGAAGATGGTTCTCTTGAGTGCATTTTAGTGCACTGTCCAGACTTTTACAATGTTCATGTAACTGCATCACTTCTCTTACTATAATACTACCATTTTTATTTCAGATTCTCAGACATTACCTCCCTATCGGTAAGAAATAGATCTAGTATGGCTTCTCTAAGGCTTAGGTTATCTCATTTCTGGATAATTAAGTTGTCCTGTATGTAATT